TCAGCTGAGTTTTATTACAACAACAGGAAACACAGAGAACAACCTGTCCTGTCTCTGTGCCTCTGCTTCTCTCTGTCACTCCAGCCTTGAGACGCCTCATATATACTGTTTAACAAACACCATTATGTCATTTTAGCAAGATTTCATCCTAGGTCAAGGGAAAACACAAAGATAAACACAAGTGATATCTAAGAATGACTGTTGTTAGTAAATCTTGTTCTGACTTTAATCACTGAAGAACAGCAGATGAACAGCAGGTCATGAAAACCTGGGTCATTAAAGGATGTCATGAATTACTGTTAGTTCCAGCACAGCAAACTTTTCATGAGTTTTATRMAAAAGTAAAAACGTGTTAGTGTATRTTACAGTGTAGACAAAACTCGAGCCCTTTTAGTTTGCTGACAAAGTTTTTCTTCTTTTGCTTCTACATCATTGTTCACATTGTGTGTGTTTGAAACACCACATATCTTACGGCGGCACGACGGCTCAGTGGTTAGCACCGACGCCTCACAGCAAGAAGGTCCTGGGTTCGATCCCCGGTTCGGACCTGGGGTCTTTCTGTGCGGAGTTTGCATGTTCTCCTCGTGCTTGCGTGGGTTTTCTCCGGTTTCCCCCACAGCACAAAAACATGTACAATAGGTTGCCTTCAGGCCCAGGCCGCCCTTGAAAAAGAGATCTGAGATCTCAATGGGATTTGCCTGGTAAAATAACAGTAAATAAAATAAATTTGGTCAAATAAGAAATGATTAAAACCCTTGTCTTTTTATGTCTTAGATTGGATGAATAAACCCTGCTGCTCTTCACTGGTAATGATGCGGTCCATCTTACATGTCAGTCTGTAAMGGGAAAAACTACCTTCTTCTTGGTTTCTTTCCAGTCTCCCAGCAACCAGAGCAGAACTTCACAGCACTTTTTGTTTGTCCGTTTTTCAGCTGCTCTGCAGAAAGAAGCAGCAGACATGTCACTGTTTGCAGCCTCTTTGATCAAACTCTTCAGAGCCTGGGCAGCTGAAGCAGGTCTAACATGACCTCAGAGCTTCAGCAGGAGCTCAGGRAMAATAGGTGACAGGAAATAAAACCTATAAAGAAAAAATAAGGCTGAAATCATCTGTCATCACAAATCAACCATAAAAAACACAAAAGTGTAWATCCCTCACTTAAAAATAATAAGGAGAATAATATATTAGGAAATAATATAAGGAGCTATCAATTGCTGAGTCATCCCAATCAGATAACTGAGTGCTGACATAATGTTTGTAAGATTTGAACCGTCATCTCATGAGTTGACAAACACACTTTCAAAGCTATCTACAATCTTTCCCCTCCTTACCTGTCTGACCTCCTGAACATCTAAGATCTGCCTCCACCTCTCAGTGCCTCCTGCCCTCCTCAGCACCATGGAGAGCAGAGCTTTCAGCTCTGGAACTCACTGCTCCATGATTACACAACCTGTGTCTCCCTGTGTAAGACCGGCCTGAAGACACATCTTTTCACATTAGCCTACTGCTAACTCTGCTAACTGATTGGTCATTGTTCTTTATTACA